ATGAAAACAGAAAACAATTAGCATATTAAAACTCTAACTTATTTTTCTGAAGAAGAAAACATCAGTTGCTTATGAAAGAACTCTGCTTTCAATAGATTTGAATATAATTTGAAGGATCTAACATATTTCCCAGACGCTGGAAGTCTTCTATAGAAATTTTTATGTCAGATGAAGAACTGAAGTTTTACACCCAAACAATTTTGTTTTCATTCATTCTAAACTGTTAACATTTCTTGTCTGTACATATCCACACAAATTTTTAAGCTGAATGGCACAGGTAATTGTTCTCAGCAATAGGTTCTGCCTTTCCTGTTAAATTTGTGAAACCAAAGTCTGTTCTTATAGTACCAAATAGAAGAAAGGCAGAATTAGGACATACATTTTGAAATGAAATAAAAACCGTGATTCATTATGTATTAGACTACGATACCCAGTAAGCCTGAAAAAGAGGTAATTTAGAAAAAAACATTCCTTTCCCGTGATTTATTCCATATGCATTCTGTAGCTCCAAAGCTGGACTGACTTACACATATTTTTTAAGTTGCATTAGTTTTTCCAATATATTTGGCCACTTGTTAGTAACTTACCCTCAAGAACTCAAGTATTTTCTATACTTTCAAGAAACAAGGTAGTTGGATGTTTGTGATGCCACTCTGTCTTCATCTTGCAAAAAAATGAGTAAATGTCAAGTAATTTGTGTCAGGTGTATGCTCCAAATGAAAGTCCATCAATCATTTTTGGCCCTTTAGTGCAATGATTATCATTTCAAAGACGCAGGAGGACATTAAAGATAATGGCTTTTCTGTTGTCTATTATCTCTAACAGACTTCACATAATTATTAGCATGTGTTCTCATTTAAGAAGAGTGTCAATATTTTGAGTGAATTGCATTTTTTTAACTGAAAGGGACATGTCTGTCAGCAAGTTTTTTGTCCATCTAACTAAATAAGGAATTGCAATTAATGAATTTTATATTTCCGCAAGAAGGGCAGATATTGCAGAAAATATTGGAAGCTTTGCAGGGTTGAAACACAATGACTGTCTTCAGCTGTCTGCATAAGATAATAAACAGTGTTCAAACTTGAGTAGAAGTAGTAAAATGCTGGTGCAGGCTCTTCCGAGGCACTCTCACTTTCTTTTTATTTTTTGTGCTGTACTGAGAAGAATGAATATGGCCTTTCCTTGTTTATCACAAGGCACTGTGGCCATGTAGGATATGAAAATATCCATAAAGGGTAAATACTTATTTTGTGGCTTTGTTTTGTTTTTACAGTTTTGATAGGAATAAAGATATTGAAATTAGTTTCTTACTAGCTCATTTCTTACTTCCTATTTTATCCTATTTGAGCCTTTAGCAAAAGGCTAAAAATAGCGGCGCTTTTTTCATCCAATAGGATTGCGAATAGAATTATGTGTCTCCTAAAATATTGTAAAAATATTTAAGAAATATAAAGCTATGGTTCATCCATGTTAAATACAAAATAGTTAAACTTGGCTCTCCTCCTTTGAGTAGGAATAAAAGAGATAATGTCTAGTCTTAAGCTTCTGAAATTTCATTGGTAACTCTTGGGGTGTTTACGTAGAATAGCTTGAGGGGCATGTCCTGCTTCTTGTGCAGGGTGTTCTTCCTCTGTTTGAACAGGGTTTCAGCAGATTACTTATGGGTCCAGACTGTTGACTTCACCATAAAAGTTAATGAGTGGGAATGGAGGGAAACACTGTGATATGCAGGACAGCTTTTTAGCTTATGGTTTCTCTCAAAAAATTTAAATATTATGGAGAGAATCCATGCAGCAGCAGGAGGAAGGATTTAGCTTTTAATCACTAAAGTAAACTGAATCTGTTCAGATTTCAGCACCAGTAAGTGTCCTGGACAGAATGTAGACACTACGGTTAGACAAAACAGTGAAGTCTATCCTATAATATTTAATGAAGTACATTTCTGGCTACGTTAGAGAAACACCTTTTAATGGGAATGACAGAATAATTTATGAATGTGTTCAAGCTTCACTGTGTCTCTACTTTTAATTAGATGATAAATATTTGAAAGATGAAAAAGGAGCACTTGAGTACAGCAAATGAACTAACTTAATAACATTAAAAAATAGTAGGGGAACACCACATAGAGCAAATAATGTTATGGATCAACGAATTAAATGAATTAGCACCAGCAGTCCCAATTCTGTCACTGAGCCAGAAGATGCTGTATCCATTACAATGATACATTCATAGTCTGGAGGAGCGGCAGGCAGCTGGCAAACCCTACCAGCTGGCACGGCAGCATCAACTGGCGTCAGCTGGATTTTAGCTGCTTACCTGTCACTGCCAGCTACAAGCAATTCCCAATATGCTGGGAGGTGATCAGTGATTTGTCTTTTAAAATCATAGACTAAATAGTTCAATGTAGTCTTCACAAACTTTCGTTTTATTTGGCTTATGGTTTTTATGACCTGGAAAAGTGCTGATTTTTTGTGTCTACTTTCCATTTGGAATTCACACACATATTTAATTCCCTGTCAGTGACTTCCCCAGAATAACTATAATTTGGGGCAAAATTAATATGTCTGAAAATGTGTTCTCTGTTTAACCACTGATTATATATTTTTGTTGCAAAATCTTTCAAGTTACACATTGGTTCTAAAAATCTATGACAAAAGTCCCATGTAACACATAGCATCACAACTTGCTTTTAGAGTTTTTTGTGCCAAATTTCAGTTATTCTCTTGTTTTGTTGCTCCATTTTTTTTTTCTCTAATGAATAAAATATTAGCCTTCAGTTACCAATTTCAGTTGGCTGAAGCTATTTCAGGTAGTCTGTCTAGTTTGATGCCTGGTAATTGTGAACATGTGTACATTTGTCTAAAATGCATGTGAACATACAGTTAGTTGGCCATTTTAAAAAATGAATCTCTGTTTTAGCTTTTAAAAATTGTACAGGCCCTTCTTTAATTTTTTTTCACTAATCTTATAAGGAGGAGGCCTTGCTTAGGAATGTAAGCTAGTGTTGATCATATCTGGACAATATATTATTACTTAAAATACTTAAAATAGAACGATTTCAAATGTCATACTGTCTACAACACCTATAGTCTGGAAAGGTTTTGCCTCAAACTAGGCATGTCTAATGGGGTTTATGACAACCTATGAATTTGCCCCTGAACAAGGTCAGCTTGGAGGTCAGTGAATGCTATACAAATTGCATACTACTCAAGCCTGTAATTATCCCTGTAAGAAGTTAATGTGCTGCGGAGTTCAGCAAATTCATGTAAAGCTTCAGAAAGGACCATGATAAACTGAGCAGTTACTTACATTTGCTCTAAAAAATTTCAGTCAACGGGATGTGTTGCTTACAGAGTGTTTATTTACGGTAACTTGTATCCAAATCATCTTGTCTGCTGGTGTACTCAGGAGGTAGAGAGCCTGATTTCTTTCTTACTTGAAGAAAACACTTTAAACAGTATTACTTTCTTGATATCCAGCATATGTTCTGTACATATAGGCTGAAAAAAAATCACAGAATAGATTTTATTTCTAATTTTGGAAAAAAATATACAGCATCTAGCTTTACATAAGTTCATTAAATTTTGAGTCCCTACAACATAAAATATCCGACGTGTCAGACAGCATGTATTCCAACTTGTTCATGTATTGTCCAATTCAAGTACTCTATAAATAATAACTAACTTTGCATTTTCAAGTGAAAATGTCACTATCATTTCTGCTTTTCCTGTATTTTTCAATACAAAGCTACTTTTATATAGATGAATGACTAAGTGGTTGCACAGCTAAATATTACTAAATCCCATAAAGTGTAGGTAAGAAACATTTGTATGAGTTAGTATAAATTTTATCAGTTAACTGTCTGTAACGTGAGCATCTGTAAGAATATTGCAAGGATAAGGTATAACTATTATTTAAAGTTTTTAATATTATTAAATATCTAAATAGTAGTATTACCCGTATATCAAAATTCAATTTTGATATAGATTAAATGTTGTTCAAATAGTGGGAACATAAATTTAGTGAAAAATTAGCTATTGGTTTTAATTTTAAAAATATGAGTTAGTATTTTTAACAATATTTGTTCATCAACACTATGAAGTAAGCCAACTGCTTGGATCTGAACTTTTCTTATTTTGAATAATTTATATCTGTATTGCATTTTGTGATGTGCTGCTGTCATATCTTCCTTATGACATAAATCAAGTTCACAAATGCCAACATTTCAAATGTTATTTATGGACTGATACATATCAGTATCACTAATTTCAACCAGCCAAAATAACTTACTCAGGATTTCCCTACCTCCTCTTTCTTCTCCTCCTTCCACCTGACATCTTAAAAGATAACAATCTGAATGTCAGTATATTACACTAACAAGTGTCTGCTACCCAAAATGTGAACAAAATCCTCAAATCCTTGTGAAATGTCAAGGCTGTGGAAGAAATACATTCAGACAAGAGTGAAAGAAATCTTTTCAGTAGCCTCTAGTGTTCCAGAAATAGAGTTGAGAGGACATAAGAAGACATTTCTCTCGTCCTCATTGGTCAAGAATTGATCCTTTGTCAAAAAGATAGACTTAAATGTGTTCACACTGAAACATAAACTAGCAGACAAACTAAGGAACTTGTGATGTACTCAGAGTATCTTGAATAGTTCTACCCTGATCACCTTAAGGAGAAGGGGGAAAAAAATATTGCAGAATAAATAATTTGTGTGCCTTTTTTTCCCTTCTTAATATCATCCTACAAATAAGAAATGATGTCTTTACTAGACCTGGTGAGAATTCAAGCCTACATTTGTCAGCCATTTGTTAGCCATTTGTTAATGTGCAGTGCAAAGATAAGATGAAAGTCATTCTACTGCATTTAGTTAATAAAAAAGTTTGTTGTTTGGAGAGACATTGAATTCAATTCACAAATTAGCTTCTATTGTTAACACAAATGAGTCCTTTGTAGGCTGTTCATTTGATCTCTGATAATTTTGCATCATCTTTCTAGATTATCAAATTGTTGGATGGAAAACGGTCTCAAGCTGTAGGAATTTTAATATCCAGTTTGCACCTGGAGATGAAGGATATTCAACAAGGTAAGCATTTCTTACACTTAATGTGTCATATGAAGTCATAATTGCATGAATATTTTCTCATAGCCCCCTTTAGAGAATTTCTTACAGAATGGGCTTTGAATGTAGCCCTCTTCAAGACATCAGAAGAATCATTCTTCCTCTATATTCCAGTATATGTAAAAGTTTCACCTAAATAATCAGAATTAAATTTAGGTAAAACTCCTTCTGTATGGTTTCGTTTCACATATATCTGTCAGTAGTGTTTTCTCAAGAGTGTTCCATATTCCTCCCTTACAGTTCCCTTCCTTTTCCTAAGCAAATCCTCCACTGACAAAAATTAAATGAAGGACTTATATATAAATCTTTTGGGCTTCAAACACACAGTTGGCATTTGTTGTGTGTTTAAATTTTGCTTCATTAACAGTATAAAAGAACACATCACAAACTGATGCAGCTACCACGTAGCAATCAGGAAGATGATTGCCGCATGGCATTTTTCAAAGCATAGGGCTGTGCAGTGTAGAAATTCCATTACTGGTAGAAATTATCTGGGTTTGCCAATACAACTGTAGAGAAGTACAGATTTTTTTCAGAACACTGGGGTAATTCAGATTCTGCTTATGTTCTGGATTTAAAAGGATATTGTTTAAGGATATTGTTTATTTCTTTTTCACATTAAAAAAAGGAAAATATTCACCATTTAAAACAACTGCTGGAAGAATTCAAGTTGATGTCTCCTTTTTCGCTATTGTTTTCCATCCATCACATGCAAATGCTGGGTAGGGTGTTGAGATGCTGCTGGCATTGATTATTATTAATTTCAGAAGAGCCTTTGAGCATCTAGCACTTTAAAAGCACAAGGGCTTACAGATGTCTCTTGGGGTGGAGAGAAACAACAAAAAGAAGGAATAACTTTGTGCCTGCCAGTATTGTGTGAAAGGTATCAGAATGAGATGGAAAAAAACTGCTATTACTAAAGGTCGAAATAATTTGCTGCCAAGAATTACAGCAGCATAGGATAGAGAAACAGTTGTATTATAAAAACTGTGTAGTATTCTTAAGTATCTTCAAAGGTGTTTTCATGACTTTTTGTTTTCCATGCTGTGATGTTCTACTAAAATAGAAAATCTCTATCAGTCATTTGCTGTACTTCTCTAGCTTTTGAAACCCTCTGACCAACTTACACCAAGTTTAAGAAAAAAGAATGTCAAATGTTTGTGTAATTACACACTAGCATTTCAGCTTGAATCAGCAGTGCACTTTTGAATCAAATCTACCTCTTGTCCCATGTGTCGTGTTTGCCTTGCAGAACAGTCTCAGAGTGCAAAAATATCCTTCAGAATTAAATTAAATAATATGTCCTTTAGGAACACGCCAGTGTCCACCTATTGCAGGCTTTAAATTCTGCAGGATCAGATAAGGAATAGTTAAAACACCCTGAAGTGTGTATAGTGTGAACACTGGATCCTCAGTACCAGCTGTTGCTGTCTACAAATCCGTTTCTAAAGACTACACCGCTTGCAGTTGTAGACATAGCTAATGTAGTCCTACAAGTTTAATGAAAATTGGAGTGTTGGTAGAAGAGAGACACCAAAACAAGTGCTGTCACTGAAGGAAAGTTTATAACTCATCACCCTCTCTATTCTGAGGTAGCAAATGACTGGCCTGTCACCACGTGTGTTACTCAAGGCAGCAATAGGGTATGCTGCCTCTTGCTTATGGAAACAGCTAGAAGATACAACAGGATTTGGGAATGCTGTTAGTGGAACTTCTTTTTGAAGTATATTACAAAGCAGGGTGAGTGACTAATCAAGATCTGTGTGCAGGACTAGTCCTCAGACTCAGGGAAAACATCCATTCTGTAGAGAGAATCTTCAGAAATGCCTACTACAATAAACACAATAGTAGAATTATGCTTATTTATCTTTTAGTGTGTGTTTATCCCCTAGAATTTTGTTTACTTTAAATCTGTGTGCAGTTCTGCCTATAGGGAGACAAATTCTTTGAAGACTGCTGTAGTCAACATACTGCATCAAAAAAGATCTTAATAAGCTAAATAGCTTATGACAGCACCTAACCAAAAAAGCGTATGATCATTGGGTGATAAATGTCAATGTCCTTGTTTTTTACGGAGTGATTTTACGGAGAGGTACCTCTAAGAAACATGGAAATGAAGCACTCATCCCTTTTTTCAAGCCAATTTCCATTGCATAATTCAGTATGTGAAAGACACGGAAGAGAAAAGTTAGTGGTCTTTGGCAGCTTGCAACAGAGAATGAAGAAATGTGAAGCAAAAGAAAGTGGAAATGAAAAAAAAAATAAAGGATATCTAATTTTATTTCAAGTTTTTCTGACCGTGTTTGTTGAAAAGCCATGTGCAAATGAACTTACTGTCTGTGTATAGGCTACTGGTTACTCTATTTTAAGTAGCAGTTACAGAAATATGGATATAGAAAAACTGTCTTCAAATGAACTGCCTTAGGGATATGGATGTATGCGAAATTGTGCAGGAGACAAAGCAAGAGTAATCACAAGAAAAATTGCATCCTCCCTTAAATTAGTGTGAGATTTCTGAATCTATAGGATTACCCTCTCAAATTAAAGTGAATAGCTTCACAGCATATTCTGCAGATAGCTCAGCTGTGCACAACAAGCAAGTGACCATATCTGGCACCCAGATGTTTCAGTTTGCATTTGATAACGAGCCAGCTGCCGCACTTCAGGAAGGGAATCTCACACACATGTTTGTTTGAGAGAGTGAAGGTCATCCTTTGCAAGTAAGTTTAAACTCTTGTTGTATCTGAATATAGCCTAGGGAGAAGACAGGGTAAAACTGAATAACTGTTTTGGCTAGTGTTGCTATTATATGATGCAGAGGGAAAGTTAACATTGTCATGCTGCACCTGTCCTAATACTCAGCTTTCTGGGAGGTGGGAGAGGAGAAATCCTAGGTGCTGTAATGTTCTAACATTAAATCTAAATCTGTCTGTCTCAGTATGCTATATGGGATTGTATGAATATTTAAAAATCAAAAAACAATAATTGTGCATAGATTATTTTTAAGGCTGCTTCTCTGCATTTTTTAAAAACCTTTGTAAAGAAGAGATGAGGAATAGTGGAGACCAACTGTTAATTAAGGAACATGATCTAACACTACACACTTAGAGAAGTAATCTCAATTTTGTATCAATGCACTTCTGTCTTAATTTTCCTATCATTGTTCAGCTGAAATATTGCAACTTGAGAGACAAACTTGTAGCTCAAGGCTACTTCTGTGGTTTTTTTATTGAAATAGTACAACTCACTCCACAGTGAGGTGTTTCAGTTCTGTTTCTAATGGGAAATGCAGATTATCACTGTATGTGAAGACCTTCTGTGGGCACCGGTCCCAACTTTTTACAGGGCAACATTCCAGTCACTCAGGCAGCTCCCAATTTAGTAGCTAACAATAACAGTATACCAGAAAACACATAATAATAATAATCTTTTCTGCAGTGTACATCATCCGTGTCAGCTTGCCATGAGCTACTGAGATCTTTGTTCAAGAGTAAACTGGCAAAATTGTGGGGCAGCCCAGATGAAAAAAGTTTTAGTTATGGCAAATGGGATGTAGATAAAATGTAGACGCCTACGTCTCCAAAAGAGTGATTCTCCCAAATCCCTCCCTACATCCATACTACCTGCATTTGACCACTAAAGTGGTGGAGTATCAGAAGTTCCGCTTCTGCATATTGCTGGTAGTTCACTGTCTAATACCCTAATACTCCTGATTTCCATTAGGATTCATTAACTGGATGGTCTCACATGATGGTATATTTTCCTTGGGACCAAATCTATGAGATGCAGTAGATCACAGCAGATGCACATTTTTTGTGGCAATATAGTGCCGTATTATTCCACACAGAACAACTGCAGGCTTTGCTAGTGCATTTACCAAGATAAGATTTTAACACTGCAGCACTGCAACAGTATTTTTTTTTTCCTTTCCTAGATTTTAAGCAATTAAATATAATGTCTGAAGCTCCATTTATTAAATCAGTGTAGCACTGGCCAACCTGGAATAGCATGTACGGGGACCTGGTATGTTTATTTTGCAATTGGAACGTTCTTGTGTTCACCAGCAATGTAAATTATCTATGCAGAGGCACAGCTTTGACAATATTAGAGAAATTTATTTGATCACACATCCCCCTGAGATGGGATAGATTAGAATGCATTGTGTTAAAAACGCCATGTGCTTTTGTCAATTCACCTTCCTTACTGGGGCTTTTTTGGTTGCTCCACAAATGTGGAATATATTTTTATTATACTGTTACAGTAATGACATTCTGATGGTGAGCAATTCAAATAACTACCATGCCACTCTACATCAAATTTTTTTGTGTGGTATTGTAGGAGGGGATGAACTTTCTGTAAAGAACACAGTTATGATACTATTGTACAATGTCAGTCAACCAGTTGAAAAGTGTTTGATTGGTCATCTTCGACTCTGTGATTTGCCCTCCGTTGTCACCATACTGGAGTAAATAATTGGAAAACTGTGAAGAGCAGATTAAGTCACCCAGGCTGATAATCAGTCCAATAATCATTCTAATTCTGTATTATGTTTCCAATCATCCTGGGATTTCTGTGTGGTCTTCCACTGATGAAAGTCCATAGAAGTTACATCAAAATGTTGCATTGTCTTAGTGCAATTTATGGTTTATGGCACATCTTAGCTTTGGAGAACAGTATCATTGTTAACCAGGCACTATGTTTTATATGTATAAGGGAAACTATTCCAAAGCAACTCTAATCTGCCAACTTTAGGATACTCTGAATTTCTGAATCCCAATTTGTGTTTTAATCATGTCATGCAGCACAAATAGTTTCACAATTCCTTTCTGTATTATATTTTGGAAATACTTCTGGACAAAGATAAATGCTTTGGAATAGTTTTTGCACTATGTGAAAAGAGTTTTATTTAGGTTTCAACTAAAATATTTTGCAGGATGGAAGTATAGATAATAAAAGCTTGGAAAAATCTGGTTCCAAAGTTGTTCTCACCTACAGAGAGTATTACATTTATGCATTCTATATATACTGTATACTATGCATGAAGTATAGAGATAGATAACTACCTGTCTCAGAAGCTAGGAAAGAATTTTCTTTAAAATTTATTTTCTTTGTTCTGGAAAACTCATAACATGATTTTGTGAGTCTACCTTGGGCATCTAGCCTGATGTCGGTAGGTTAACATTAGTGCCAGTCTTTTGCTTATGATTTCTTGCAGGAATTGAACTTTCTTAGTCTTCTAAATCTACGTTGTGCCCATGGTCCTTCTTCGTAATGTATATTTTAATGTTTTTTATGTTGCATGATAGTTAAATACTGGAGAAAATCTTTAAATAAGTTTAGAACATATCAATTTGTCAGAAGTAAACCAGAGCAATTTAGATAATTTAGGCAGCTTTGCCAAGTAGGGATTTGTATTTAACAATTGTCACTTTCTAATTAACTAGATCAGTCACAATTTAATTTAAATTTCCCAGTGATAGGCTTCATGTTCCATTAAATCAGCCTTATTCAGAGAATGCAATACATAAAACAAGGAAGCACTTCCAGGGCAAATAAAGTACCTTTAGCAAGCTCTTTTTATTTAAATAACATATTTCTGTTATTTTCATTAGGGAGCAGTTGAGGTGATTTCTTCATATTTCATAGTTTATTTGTCACATTAAGTGGTTTGATATTGCTGAGTATATGTAAGCTCTGTCAGCAGGAGTTAAATCCTGATTTAACTAAAACGTGTTTAGGAGGAGTGAGGCTGTATATCAGAGTCAGCCTTAAGACTGTTGGTTAAGAAAAGATGTATTTTTTTCATATTTAACCTCAAAGTTCTACAGTTATATGTAGACTGCACACAGTATGCTTTAAATTCTCGGCTTTTCTTTGGTTTACATTTTTGAAGTGATAAAACAGGGTATGTGAAAAATCTGTGCAGTAGGGAGTCTGTTTTTTACAGTTAGATTAATTTTTAAAAAGTGAGTCTGTCAAAACCCTTTGGTACAAGTTTATATTCGAAGCAATACTCTTAGTATGTGAAATGTAGTTGGCAAGTATTTTTATGTGTTAGTTTGAATGCATGATGCTGATCTGTTTTTTGTCCTAGCTGACGGTTATTATATCCTAATGGGTGCAACCCTGCACTAATGATCCTTGTGTATATAAATTCTTCTTGTTGTGAGCAGACACCATAGGCCACATAAAAATGTTTGCCTCAATTTCCCTGCAAAAAAGGATCTCAGAAACCAGACTTGGCCAAGTAACAGATTTTTTAAAGGTAGAGGAACCCAATAAAATTACCAGCTTTTCACAGCATGAGTCTACTTCCTTTCGACATATTGTGAGGTGTAGGTGAAATACTCTAACTGAACTGACAGTGTAGGGAAGACAGCTAACTAGAAAGCAAGATAAAAGTAAAAACCACCGATGATGATTGATATTGTAATAGCTATTAATTGTTTTGGAACCTCTTTTGTAGATTTATGATACTTCACTTATATTACTTATACTTATGTGAGTCAATATAATGAGATTTAGTGCAGTAAAGTATCACAGTTAAATTCACTGTATCAGGAAGAACATTTTGAAAAAATTATCAGTGTTTATATTGATTTTAAAGATGTTAATATGCATATGATTAAAACTGGGTTTTGATTTTCACTAAAAAATTCAGAAGCTTTTGTTCCTTATATCTCTGAATAAAAGGTAAAATAATTAGTTTCTTTGATCTAGTGTAATGGCTTTTTTTCAGGTGCCCCAGTTAAAGTTAATTTACACAACATACTGTGAATATATTGCACATGCCGTATTTTAAGAATGTGAAGAATACTAAGATACCTATGAATTTTGGGATTTCTTCCAGCTTTTTAAAATCAATGCTTTTAAAAAAAAAATTGACCAATCTTCATAATTTTACATGTTTTTGGTTTTGTCTTCTGCTCCAAATGTGTATGGCTTTAAGTTCGATCAGTTTCAATGAAAAAAGATATAAGGACAAAGATAAAGGTATTAAAATAGGTGAAGTTGAAATAAAGGAACCTGTGTGGATTTTGGCTGTACTTCTGTCTTTTTGGATGTGTCTCTAGATACATTAGTATCCTAAGATGTCCAGCTGTCATGGAATTGAGTAATATGACTAGATTTTTAATTGCAGCCTGGACGTGGCCAAGAATAGCAGAACAGGTTATATAGAAAATGTATCAGAAAATGTTTTACATTAAAAATATAAAATATTAAATAGATAAAATATCAAATGGTTTATGCTAAATATTCATAATGAATATTAATATTAGACAATAATGTACATGTCCAAAAAAAGAAAATAATTCATATTAATTTCTCTTAACCCTGATTTTTATTAATTCTGTAAAACATGTGTTCATGTATCAGTTTGTATTTTATTAGTTTAATCTGAGACATTTTTAGCTTTGTCATGTCACTTCAAAATAATGCTGACTTGTTGGAACTGGTGTTGAGTCCAGAAACATGGATAAGAAAATATAGCATTTAAAACCACTTTATGATTTTTGGTGACAAATGTCTGACTGAAAATTCTAGTTAGATGTACAAATCTTGATATTCTTTTTAAATATTTTTTTTTTCAAACTACTTCCTCCCCTTATAATAGTTCTGTGCTTAAAAGCCTACTATTGTTTACATGTTTTGCATTTCTAGTACGAGTTCAAATTACCTTTTCTAGATAACTCTCAAAAGTCGCTTTCCTAGATAACTCCAGACAAATAAATTTCTCCTTGTAAGCAGATTTCAGAATATTCCAAAAGAGGGGATGAAAGGGAAACCACAAGGGGATGTTTTTGAACTCAATATGCGTATTTTAAAATCTTGACAATTAAATACATTGGATCGTGAGACCAATTTTCCAATAAATTTTCCAATCTCTTGGTTCTTTTGAAATTTCACTGGATAATACAGAAGTTAATGCAACTCAGGGAACCATCTTGCAAGAGCCAACAGATGATCTCATAGATTAAATCCCTAATGATTTTTATTTAAACAGAGATTTTTGTCAAGTGCAGTTGTTTGGGCTTTATATTTGGTCATACTCGAGGGTTTTATTGAATTTTTCCAATAGGACCTAAAATAATATATTGCTTTTTTTCAGTGATACTGTCGTCTTCTGTATAATTCTTCACTTCTAACCAAGCTGTAATGTCAGCAGATGGAATCATAATTGACAGGGAAAATTTTAAAGCATTCTAAATGTCATTGGACCTTTTAATAAAATTAATTAGCCTGCCACAGAGAAAATTTACTAGTCTGCTGGTTAATTTCACAATGTAAAATCATGGGGTAGGTGGAAGAGCAGGGGAAAGCTTATTACTTTTAAATAATTATTTAAAGATGTGTGCCTTGCCCCTTTCAAACATGGATTGCAAACGCAGCAAGAGCTTTTAAAATATTCTGAATTCACAAGCAGACAAATTTCCTTTGAAGAAATATAGTACAGTTGAAATTAAAAGTTATCAGGTACTAGCTAACGATGAGTCACTGGTTATGTGGAAAACTGGTACAGGCCTTAAACTTGATTCTTTTGGGATTAATGTTCCCTGTAACATTTAAACATAAGTCAGGAGTTCAGAAATTGTGCCCAGTCCCATAATGAATCTTGATAAAATGCTGGTTTCAGGAAAATTAAACATCTGAAGTTATTTCTATTTCATTGTGCATTTCTTAGCTTACTGGAATTTAACATTAGAGAGCATTAGAAAGCACCGTGAACCAATCCTATTTAGTTTTCAGAAGAGTCCCAATGCATTGCCTAAATTGTAATGGGATTTGCAAATGTTGGAAGCTCTTAATGCCATATATTCCAAACATAGTAACATTTGGAACTAAGTTAGGAAACATTTTGAGACCTTTTCTTTTTTAATAATGAGGTATAATTAATCATTGAAGAGTATACTTTAGGTGTCTCTGTATGATGTTTAGTGGTATTATCTGGAAATTTTCCTGTGGGTAGTTTCCTAGTGAATAAAGCTCACTCAAATGTGAGCTGCTCTATGAAGATACCGTAAAAATTTGTAGTACAATCTTTTGTTCTTGCAAATTTGCAACTTGCAAATCTTGCAAGTTTGTCTACCTGTCTACTTCCCAAGATTGCTAGCACCCAGACAAACAGGTCTTCCTTTGTTCCTATCTCCCATGAACACAGGGACACCTAAATACTCTAACTCTCAACTTCTTCCTATCCAGCCAAGTCACCATGAAATCTGTTCTGGTATCGATTGTTATATTCTCCTGCTACGCAATCAGCTGAGTAGCTGGCAGGTCGGATCTTTGCCTGCTGAGTATACTGGAGAGGAGACAGAATTTATATTAAGTTCTTGTGTCAGTGCTGTCTATATAGAAGTCAGAACAGAAATAAAATGCCAAAAAGAATAAAATGTTAACTGGATACAAATATGTCCTTTAGCTAGGTCAGATCTCTATAGTGCATTTCTCAGGAAAACAGAATTGAACTCTTAAGTATGTTTTCTAGCATCTAATTTGTGATTGTTTTCTATGCAGCTATACTGTGTGTTGATGACTCCGTAGTAGATCTGGAAACACTGGAAGCACTATATGAAAATGTAAGTAAACTGCGGTAAAGCTGTGGTTAGTCACCATAGTATTTCAGACACAGAATAAGTAAAGTTTTATTTTATGCTGTCATTCTAGACAAGAGGCATTATATAGAAAAAAATCTTTAGGGAATTTAACATTAAAATAAGAAACATAAACAATACCCATTGACATGCTAATATCTCTTACTGGCTTAGTTCTTAGTCAGAACTAAGTCAGAACTTAGTCAGAAAATTAAAAGTGGAGTGCCTTTGGAATCAGGTTGAGGTGTAAACAAAGGCGAAACATCTAGCAGTGTTCTCTGCTGAACTGCCTGAAAAATGCTATCCTTCCTGAATGCCTATTTTGTTCTAACATGCTGAATTTTTCTCGTTTAAGATATAAGTGGCTAAAACAGTTAACTCAGTCCAGTGAATTGCTGTCCTTACCCAAGTTGCTCAGTAGACTGAGTATATAGCATTCGTGATCTGTGTGATGCTGAAGTTGCCTGAAAGAATGCATTTACACTTGGCTGTAGAGAGATCAGAGCTGCTGCTCTGACCTACACTGTGGGAAGCATCCTATAGCAATATTTGCAGTGCTGTGCTCTACAAGGATGCTCTGCTTTGTAGCCATTGGTAGTGAAAAGCACTGCAAGGCACTGAAGGAATTTATCATGGATCTTTATGTCTCATTTTTTGCATAGTCTAAATGTTTCCCAATAAAAAATGTAATTGTTACTTACAGACAAACAGGTCTATTAGTAATTTGGTATTAATTATTTATTAATTACTTTATATTAATTCACTCAGAGAGCTCAAAAGGATGAACTGGAGAAAATCAAGCAATATTATCAGACTTCAAAAGAGGAGGAACTGAAGCTTCTGGATAAACCAGAACAGTAAGATTATTTTTTTGTAATATTTTGTCATTATATAGTATAATCCTTTGCTGGTACGTTAAAAGGGATCTTGATACATAATTTTTGGTAGCTAATTTTTAAACTATTTGTGTATTTCAAGGTATGATGTAAACTTTACCTCTATCACATAACTTTTTTCAGACATGAGAGATTTAACAATGTCAACTTGGACCACCAGAAGTGATAAAATATGTAGCCTTGAATCAATAAAAATGTCTGTCCCCATTCTCACTTTTGTAAAAGGCTTATCCTTCACTTATAGCTTTTAGGGCTAAATTAATGTGTCATAGAGCAGGGCCAGACTGATTTTAGTTATTGTTTATTTGAAAGAGCTACACAAACAGAGGGGTTTAGTGAGTCCTGTGACAAAGACACAATATACACTCTGGTCATGCTGACTGAAGACTTACAAGGCTGATTTCACAGTTCATCTCCTCTGACTGTTGTGGGCAGTGACAACTGTTAGGATGAAGAACTTTTTAAGTGTTGCTCCTTCTGTTTTAATAAACCTTAGATCAATGTGAAAATCACAAGTATCCATGAGCAGAATTGTATTCCTGAGTTTTATTTTAGTGTTCAGATTTTGGCCTTCCAGTGGTGATTGTCTTCTACTACTTTGCTACTTTTCCCTTTGTACTTCCATCCCCTTCTTCTAATCACAGTGCAATTTCCTGCCCGGAGGCCTCTTTGCCATCTTGCTTCCTTTTTCCTCTTGTCTGTTTTTGTCTTTTCTGCGTTCTTTGGCATAAGAAAGGGAAAGGGGAGGAAGAACTGAAATAGCGGAGATAGTATAGGGTTGGTTGATGTCAGAATCATAGAATCATAGAATGGTTAGAGTTGGAAAGGACCTTAAAGATCATCGAGTTCCAACCCCCCTGCCATGGGCAGGGACACCTCCCACTAGACCAGGTCGCTCAAAGCCCCATCCAGCCTGGCCTTGAACGCTTCCAGGGATGGGGCATCCATTACGTTTTCGTACCTTTTTTTTCCCATTAAAATGTTAGGGGTGAAAAGCAGATTTATTTATTTATTCTCCTCTTTTCCTAACACAAGGCAGCTAAATATTCATTTGTGACTATCCGCTAGGGAATAGGTTAATATTGGGAGATGAGGCTATCACACTTTTGATGAAGATTTGCTGTCATTCCTGAGTAAGACTTAAGACAAATATCCGTAAAGTGTATATACTAGCTGCTTCTTGCAACCCATATCCATGGTTTTCATTGCATTGGGCATAAGAATACATTGTATGACTATTTGATGTATTCCAGAACTTGAATCTTTGGCAATCTGTTTGCTGTATGTCTGAGTGAAATAAATATTGATGCATTTTGTATTCTGGAGAATACAAATCTTGTAGAGCTCTAGAGTTATAAAAGGTTGTCTGTTTTTGTAAATTATAGTGGAGAGAGGTTAATCTTAATTAAACACAAAGTTGGATTTATGCTATCATTGTTCCATAATTAAAAGTAAAGAATTGTAAATAAAGGAGTTATGCCTGATCTTTCAGAGTGAAATAGTAGCGTCAAAGACAAAAGCTACTTTTTATCAATTATTACCCTTTGTGTTCTTTCTGCAAGTCTTAATTTTTACCCCATTATTAAACTGTGTAGGTTAAGAAAACTAGCTTTTTAAAATATTGCTCCAAGGGGAGAACAATTTACTGATGATGGACTTATGTGAATTTTATTGGACCTTCAAAATGTCCTTTCTGCAAATGCAGTAGATCAGGTACTGCTGGTTTTGTTGTCTAAGTCAACCTCTATGTCAACCTAAATGCAGAACTGGAGATTTGTTGGAACTGTACTACTTGTATTAATTCAATAAAAGACTAAAGACAGAAAATTGCTAAATTTGTATGTGTGATTAAAAATTGCTACGGGGCATAAGCCTCATGTATTTCCTTTAATGAGGATCAGAAGTGCAAACTAAACTTATCAAATGGTACCAAATACTAGCAATAGGCATCCATATAATGAAACATTGATGTGAATTCCCTGAATTTTAAAGGAAACTGTTGCCATTTTTAAATGCTTGGATTATCAGACAAATAGAAAGCTTTAGTGGTATCACTGATGCTGTCCTGCACATGTGATTTTGATTTGTTTTGCTGGCATGTTAGATTTGCTATTGTTGGCACAAACTCTAAGTATGACAGCAACATGACAATACCCCCCTAAATTATGCTTCATGGTTATAGTTGTTAAAATGCTAATATTCGTTAACATGATAAAGATTTATATACAAAATTGGCCACAATTTGGGGTTTTGCTCACGGGATACAGATGGTTTAGCTAGTTTCCTCGAAGGTGCTTTTAATTGTACTATAGTCTCTGTAAAGTCCTCTCTACTGTGAAAGATGTACTGATGAAGGAATTAGTAGTAAAATCTGGTATTGAGCTTTCCTGTTTTGTATGTAGTTTGAATTCAGGAAGTAGTGAGATATTGATAATTTCTGTCCAAGTAATGCCATTTACTTCTCTTAAAAGACCACTTTCCTTTGACTTAAGTTTAAATCCTGCTGGTTTACTTAGAAGCTTGCAGGATTAGACACACCTTTTCCCCCCCAAAATATTTCTGAATTTTATATTCTTCAATGTGGATAAACGTGAACTGATAAATAGTTTACCTACATAAAATCAGCCTCCTTTGTCTGTCTGCTGGAAGAATGTTCTGTTACAGTAGCAACACAATATTATGCCTGGCTTGAAAGTACTCTCAAGTCCTTTATTACAGGATCCTGGTAGGATAAGAGTTCTCAAGTAAATGCATTTTTTATTTACAGTTTCTGCAGGAGAGGAGTAAAATGGACCTTACAGTGATGAGCAGTAAACTCTCAATGTTTAGAGAATATGTTAGAACATAAGAAGTGTAGCAATGAGAAACCCATCAAAAACCTACGTCACGCACATGTCATCGTTAAAGTCAAAATCATACTTTTCTAAACTAAAATTGCAAACATGTCTGAACTGAGAATATTCTTTTCTCTCCAAAAGTTTTATCCACCTGAATTGGTCATTTATAACCACAGATTCATGCGATGATTCTGTGTTTAGCAACTACATTTTTAGTCAATATGTTTCCTTTTTGTGACAGATTTCAGTTATAAGTGTCCTGTCTGGATATTTATATTGAATACTTTGAATTCCAAAATCTTGAGGGGTTTTTTTTTAATTTTTTTTTTTTAGTCCTGATGCTCTTTTAACTCTCGGTACAATTATGTTGTATTCTGGTGACCAGCAGTGTGAGAGAGAGTTGCCTTTTCAAGGGAAGGCAAGAATATGTGTCATTTGACTTTTTTAATTTAAACTTTTAAAATGCATGTATGTTAGAACTTTAGTGAAACAGTTTGGGTTTTTCTTTCTTTTGTTTCTCTCACACAAAGTGCAAAGTATCCTCTTTTTTTCCTGGCAATACCATTCATTCCCAATAGGAAGCATTTTTATTAATACCAGCTTGGCATTTCTTTTTTTCCCACTGCTTAAGTGTAAGAGCCAAGTTGGGCCTCCCCAATCCTTCTCTCACAATAGATTTTTTTCTTCAGGCAAGAGAGAAGAAGATGGAAAAAATGATATTCCAATTAAAACATAGTATTTCACAACAGTCACAGGTGGATTTTGCTGATTTTTTTAGACAGTCACTATGTATTCAGCGAAACATTGTATGCATGAGAAATTTTATAAAGTGGATTTGAAGATACTGACATAATTCATTATGAAAAAGAAATAATTTGGAGAAATAAGATGTATCGGTTTATAAAATTTAATAAGAATTCAAGCTAATAATGGTTCATAGAATTTCCCATAATTCAGAGAGGTAGAAAAATCTTTATGGCATTGTGTTAAGGGGAACCTAAGGATGTCTGTAGACAGGAGATTTAGAGGAATTTTTCAGAAGTGATATTGAAGAAAAAGACATCTTGTTTCTGGATTTCAAGAAAGCATGTGCATCACTGAAATCCTTGACTCAAAACCCTCAAAGCAAATCATGCAAACCCTATTATAGGAAATGTTAAAGCTTCTTGCATTATTTAGCCAAGCTTTTACATTTTAAATTGAAGAAGAGCAAATGGAGGAATTACTCATGCCTTTGGGATGCTTTCATTTTGTGATATCCGAATGGGAGTTGTTGAATATGCTTCTATTTATTTTTATTTACCAAAGAATTAAAGAAAGCTGGAATAGACTCACGAGGAAAGCGTATACATGAGAACAGATAAAGAGCAGATAAAGAGTTAGTAAGTTTGCTGAACAGTAACTGGAGAGAGATATAGTCTGCAAGTATTTTAGAGCTAAATACACAGCTAGGTGCATTACCATAAAACATGCTGCTGTATAACTGGAAGTGTGGTGCAAATTAGTAAAACAAAATTGAGGCTGAACATCAGAAGAAATTTCTTGGCAGACGTTTTATATTATGAAGTAACCTTGTAGGAATATATTGAGTTCCGTATTGCTGTGCACATTTTTAAGGGAAGCAAAAACACATGAGTGAAAACAGTAAATAGTGTTTCTCTAGCTCTTTCCTTTTCTCTTTTTTTTTCTTTTATGTTTTTTTTTAAACCTATGATCTAGGTTTATCATTCTTCTATTTATTACTGTGCAGCTGTGATAGTTGCTTAATGGATTAATGTGATAATGATAATGTCTTGCCTTTTTTCTGATATTAATAGGATTTCTTAACACATTGACCATGAAGAATATAACAATTATAAATTCTGTCAGATATGATTCGAAGTAGGAAAGATTGCATGTATATTTCGTGCTGCTACATCTTTAATCCATTATGCACCCCACAGATAAGAAATATAAAGATTCATTAATGCTCTTTTTTTTCCACAGATTTTTATACGAGTTATCTCAGATCCCCAACTTCGCGGAACGAGCTCAGTGTATTATCTTCCAGTCAGTTTTCTCTGAAGGTATAACATCAGTGCACCGGAAAGTTGATATCGTAACTCGTGTTTCCAAGGTAAGTCTAATGAAAGCAAAATAAAAAAATAAATATATTTTAGACTATTTGTGCCTTTTTTTTTTTTTTTTTTAAAAAAAAAAAAAAAAAGGCAAAAATAGTCTAAAATATTTTTATTTTTTTTTTTTTAAAAAAAAAAAAAAAAATATATTTTAGACTATTTGTGCCTTTTTTTTTTTTTTTTTTATGATAGCTGATGAGCTTAAGTTCTGATTATTGGCTTTTCAGGAAAATAAAAATATATCAATTTTTTTAGCTGCTTTTAATAACAAAATGAGGAAGAAAGAGGGAAGGTGAGTTGTGTGTCATGCCCTATGCTCTACATAAGAAAATCTACTTTTATTTGTATCACAGGTTTTATTACTTTGCACATTAAGTAGAGTAATAACTAATCTCCATAAAATATAAATGAAATATCAGACTAGCTTAGCATAGGGCCTTGCAAGCTTCCTTTTTTTGTGTATCAGTGGTGATGATATCAGCAATAGATGGCTATCACATTAATTAACTTATTACATTCTCCTGGTATGTATACATATATGTTAACCCTGATACAGCAGATTTTTAGTACTCAACAAAGTTTTGCCTAAGATTTCTTTACTATGAATGACTAAAGACAAGATTTTGAAAATATAACAAATAAAACATGAAAGTAGAATATGATAAGAATTGAAGAGAAATTAAATAGTGACCTAAAGGTATAAGATCTGGCAGGACAGTATTTAATAAATATTTTTTTTTCCAATTTGAAGGTTAGCTTTTCATTGGCTTTGCTACCACAAATTTCCCATGCTCTCCACCCTTTTGGATTTCTTTGCATATTCTAACAATAAAAAGTTACTTAGTGTTTCCTTTCCAAAGGAAAGTGGTATTGCCTTCAGTTTACTTATGAGGAGCTCACACTACAATTGATTTATCCAATGTTTAGGCTACATAGTTAAGAATTAGGCCCATGGCCTCAGATTCTCAACTGACAAGACAGATGTCGTTATATGTAAATTAAAATTTATTCATTCTCCACTGCGTTTCTAGATATATGCTTTGAGGCATAGTCCTTAGCCCTGGTATATCTGCATTAAGTATAGATCTAGAAATGTGAATTTCCAGAGCACGAGGACCAATGAGAAGCAGACTGAATATAACAGTCCAAGTTTAACCTAGTGGGCAGCAAAAGTAGCACACTTCTATTTAACGGTGCATTATGCAAACTCTTGATAAACCACCCCGTCTGTAAGATTTTAAAAGGCTACTAAGAATGTTTTGTAATCTTCTTCCATTAATCTTTTTGTCACCTACATAGTACATGATGCCATATAATTTGCTTCATACCAATTGAGTTAAACATAGTATCTTAGGCGGCTACAGGCTAATAAATGCTCCTCTTAAATGTTTCATTCTTGTACCAGTTTTAATCTTCCTTTCCCTACAGGGGTGAAAACACACAAGAAAAAAACCTCTAGCAACAATAAACTAAACTGTTTTATATTAGCAATTAGAATTTTTGTGCCAACGGAAGTTACAGACCAGTATCTATTTTCCAGGCTTTGCTAAACATGACAAGTGTAAAGGAAATTTTAGGTCTGATTCTGGCTTTCGGAAATTATATGAACGGTGGGAATAGGACCCGAGGTCAAGCAGATGGATTTGGTTTGGAAATACTCCCCAAACTAAAAGATGTCAAAAGCAGAGTAAGTACTCATTTTTAATTAAAAATATTTTTTCTCAAATGATCTATTTTTGTTACATCATCTGTCAAAATTTAATCTTTTCTTATTTCTTAACATTCTTGCTTGAAAGAGCAAGACACTTTGTATGATTTTCTTGCCTTTTTCTCCCAACTTTTCACCTCCTTCTCCTGCACATGTGTGTATTTCCATAATCTCCAATTTCTTCTATTTAGTACTACTAGGATAATTATCTTACATGAGAACTTCTGTGTATCTCTTCCTAGTAGGGACTTAATTACAGTAGGTTAGAGACAAGTGAGAGAGTACAAACTGATGAAGTGTTCTCCAATAAAATCCCCATTCTTTTTTCTTCCTCTTAACATAAGGTAGCTCTATGTGAGTAAAAAACAGGTTTAAAAATAAAATATCAGTAAAGGTTTGGTGTAGCATATACACCAATTATACATAAAGGGTGCAAATATATAATATACAGAATTGTAATCCTCTTCTAAGAGATTTGTCAGACCCAACAAGATGTTTTCAGACTTTATTTTGAATTGGCAGTTAAGTGGATGTAGGGCATGAATTCAGAATGGCACGCACGAGAAAATGCTTGTAGATGGCAGTAAATTATTTTGTCAAAAATTGAGAATGACTAGGACGTTTTTGATTAGTCATGCTAGGATCAAAGTCAGGTGCAAACAACCTCTGGAAACTTTTTGAGGTGAGATTACTTTGTTGCTTATTTCAATAGGGCAGAGGAGGAAGTGCTAGATAATGTAGGCAATGGAAACATTGCTCACAGTAATTCTTTGCCAAAACCTACCTAGACACCATATGGATCTATGACGCAGCAAAGAATAGGAGGTATTTTCTGCTGGTACAGATTTGGAGGGTGAGAAAAAAAAACCCGTTCTTCCATGTTCCTCTTTTCCTTTGTGAAGTGTGTATTGAACTATAAGAAGGGTAGATTTTAAGCTTTTGTTCCCTGTTATGCTTCATGTATGTAGGAATGCATTTGTGAGACAGGCAATGTCAGGAAAGCAGTATTTCTAGGGAGCTTTTTGTTTTACTTGTGAATACCATCATTAACAGAGTGTAAAAAAAATGCTTAATGAATTGTTCAGTGAGGAACTGTATTATTGAAGGTTCTTCCAATGGGTTTGAGTTCTTTTTCTCCTGAAAACATTGAGGTGCTGGAGTGTTTCCAAAGAAGAGCAACAAAGCTTGATGAAGGGTCTGGAGAACAGGTCTTATGAGGAGCGGCTGAGGTAACTGGGGTTGTTTAGCCTAGAGAAAAGGAGACTGAAGGGAGACCTTATTACTCTCTTCAACTACCTGAAAGGAGGTTGTAGCCAGGTGGGGGTCGGTCGCTTCTCCTAAAGTAAAAAGCAATAGGACAAGAGGAAATGGCCTTAAGTTGCTCCAGGGGAGATTTAGATTGGATATTAGGAAAAATTTCTTCACTGAAAGGGTTGTCAACCACTGGAACAGGCTGCCCAGGGAAGTGGTTGTGTCACCATCCCTGAAGCTGTTTAAAAGACATGGAGATGTGGCCCTTAGGGGCATGGTTTCGCGGTGGAATTGGCAGTGTTAGGTTAATGGTTAGGCTCGATCTTAAGGGTCTTTTCCAACCTAAATGATTCTATGATTCTAATTCTTACTTTCCTCTTCACTGCAATGGTTCAGCTGTTTCCTATGACCACTTTTCTTTCAGTCTTACACCATGGGTAAGACATAGTACAAGCTACAGCTAAACTAGAACCAGGACAAGTTTCCCAGTACTTAGGTGTTCATTGGTTGGCCAGCTGCCATGAAGAAAAATGTAAAACAACTGAGCTTTGCCCGACTTTTCTCAGTGGAAGTACTAATTTTAGTCTTGCTCTTCTACCTAACCATAAACTTGTGAGAATTTAATTATCTCTGGGACTTTCCAATTTGACTGAATTTAGCTAGCATGTTCCAAAATAATGTTATGAATAGAAGTGACAGATGTACAGTACAATTGCATAAGACTTGATCCTTAGCAAAACAAGCTAAAAAATTACAGTATTTGCAGTTTACTGGTAGCCAAAATAAATATATTATCAGTTTGGACTAGTTTCCAAATGCATAAAAATGCAAAAGGACCAGATGCTACAGGCAGGCATGAAACTTCAGAGATAATTGGTAGACCGTATTTGCAAGGAAGAAAAATGCAGGATTTTGTGTATGTGAACACTAAGGTATCCTTTCTGTGTCCCACTATTCCCTTTTGGGGAATTGCCAGCAAGCAATATGACATCAAAGCAAGCTGAATTCCAGGAGCTAAGGTAGAGTCAATATTAAATATCTCTCATTTCACATAGAAGTCATTTATTCTCACATGAGCCTAGAAATTTGCTTAATATAGAGACTTTTAAAAATATGTAGCTCACCACTTCAAAATCCCTGTTTTTTCTTCTGCAAATACTTCTTAAACAAAAGTAATAGGTTTGATAGTTTAGCATATAGAAAATAGAATAACAGGTGTATTTCACTCTAAAAGGGCAATCACATGTTCATGAATCACCCCAGTTCCTTTCTGTCACATGACCTGCCAGCAATGTCTTCTAAAACCGTTACACAAGCAGAAGGGCTTTGTCTGCATGACAGAAATGACTTACTTAGTTAAGAATTTTGCTTGTGTATGACATTAATAAAATATAATATGCCGCAGGCTCTAATATAGGCGAGGCAGCTCTGTCGTTGTTCACATACAAACGTTTGTCCTGATGCCTGTCAATATACAATATGAAAACACATCCAGAAAAACTTCAAAGACATTCCAGATATAATTCCCTGTATTGTGACTCTTTTGTGTTGTTGAGCAGTACCCTGTAATGTATAAGTTGCAGTTTTACAGTTTTTCCTTTACTTCATCTGGCCTATGCTGACCCACTGACATGTAACAAAACAAAACGATGTTGTGTACAGATGTTGTATGTTGTATGCAAGACCATGGTAATGGTGATTCCACAAAATTAATATTGAAATCCATATTTGTAAGGCAAAAGGACATCAAATATGCTTGTTAGGTACATGCTGTCTGGTTTTATATTTGGAGTAAAATACAAAAAAAAATCTTTATCTCTTTCAGATCTTCATTTTAGATGAATTGAGACTAAAGGAATCAAGTAATTCAATTCACCTTAGTGTATCTGAGGTGACTGTAATATTTAGTTAATATTCTATTCAAGAATAATTTTATTAATTTTAATAATTTTCTTCCCTGGCATTTAGAACCAAAAGAAGCTCTATGGTGGTATGATCATAAAAGACTGATTTTTTTGGTCAGTAATGCTAGGGCTGAAGATACTGTTAATCCTATTTCTCACAGCAATATAAAATAATAATCATATATTTATTTTGAAATAGAGTACATTTTCACTCACTTGAAACAGTGGTAAGCACAGACATTTTTAATAATATATTTATTTTTCCTAGGATAATGGGATTAATCTTGTGGATTATGTCGTCATATACTACCTGCGCCATTGTGATAAGGTAAAAGATTCATTTGCTCTATCAGCCTTTCCAAAAGTAGGTTTCTTTAAGAGATTCTAAATGGGTTTTGTATTAGCTTTTCAAAAATCTGAACACAGTAACTCTGATGGAAAAATCCTTTTTTTTTTTACTTTCTTAGAATAGTTGTGGACCTCAATAGGTCTGAAATTTGCTATAGGTTATATGATAAGGCTGTGGAAAGTTTTACATCAACAGTTGAACTAACCACTGCTGGCAATTGCCTGTGACTGGGCAGGTGATCACTCCCATCTTGTCTTCTTGCATCCTAGTTACTGTAACGTTGTAAATGTTGTTCTGATGTGGTAATAATGGAGGACAGAAGCACGATTTCTCTCTCATGGCAGAATGCAGGGACAGGTTGGTATTTTAAGAGAAGCAAATCAGCTGATGGGGATGAAGTTAGAAGTTGAAAATGTGGGAAGAGGCATGGCTGCTGCTTAGAGGCTTTTTCATAGATATCATAAATGCCTAAATTTTTTGAGAGGAAAATTTGAACTATTGTTTTTTAAATGAAAATATCACTATTAATTGATTTTAAGCATGTAATTCAGATTTTTGAGATTAAGAAGGTACTCTTACTGAATCTTTGAATCTAATAGTAGTGTAATATTTCAGAGCCCTATGCCTAGTTGAGTACAGCTAATTTTTTATTTTTTTTTTAACTCTTATGTAAGGATGTTGGATTGGTGAGTTAGTAGTCATGAATACTTCTTCCAGGAGTAAGACTAAAGCAAGTGAAGGCATTTCCCTGCCCATGGCGAGGGAGTTAGACTAGATGATCTTTAAAGGGTCACCTTCCAACCCAAACCATTCTATGATTCTATGATCTCTAACGCTGGAGGGTCTGTATGTCAGGAGCTTCTCAGCTCCTGGGAATGAGCTGTAGAGGAGCTAAAAAACTAACAGATATGCAGATCTGTGTTTGTTTTCTTTTTTCTTTTTTACTTTTTTTTTTTTCTTTTTTTTTCTTTTTTCTTTTTTTCTTTTTTCTTTTTTTCTTTTTTTCTTTTTTCTTTTTTTTTTTTCTTCCTTGATAAGGGAAATAAAATGTCATTACTGTTTCTCAGTTCTCAGTGTATTGACATATGTATTCTTTTCTCCTTTTTTAATATTGCTGAAACTAAGGCTTTCTAACTCATTTATTTAAATATTTAATATTTCTGCAAACTTTCTACTACACTGTAATTTTATGTTAGGGAATTCTGTAAAACAAAATAGTTTATCTTCCTTAGGGCTAAATGGACACAGTGGAAATCTCATCCACTGTACTTTTTCCCCCCAAATGTTCATATCTTTATAATAATAACATTTTTCCCCTGTTCACAAAACAATTAGTTCTCCAATCTATGAGTTTTCCTTTATTACAGACTGAAATCTGTGCACAGATGGTATTTTAAACTCACTAGTATATGCTTATACACAGCAATGTCATATTAATACCATTTATATACTTACTAAATTTCCACTGGAGATACTGCTTTCAACCTTGTAAGTATTTTTTGTTTGTTTTTGGTTTACTTCTGATATTTTTTCTTACTGTGCTAAAAATAAGGCATATACATAGGAGTTCTGTGCAGATATTAATCCATGTGATTTGTTTAGCCGCATAGACCTTCAACTGTTTATTTTTGTCTGTATAAAATGCTTCAGGCAATATATAAATACTGTTTTCAATTTATGCTTATAAAGTGTATGTATATTTAATGAATTGGGAGAGAGTGAAACCACAAACTTTTGGCATAAGATCACTTGTTGCATTAAAATAGAGATTCACAGTTTTTAAGAAACTTCTAATCCCTTATCTAAACCTTTATTGATATTAAATGAACTTAAATGTTCTGAGCTAAATGTTGTTTCATAGTTTAAAAGAAGCACAGTTTGCTTTGCGACATCTAAAAGAAAGTTTCAACACTCAGAATGGTCAGGACTTCATCTTGAATTATATTTATGTTATTTTAGCCAGAGTGATTTAAAATACATTATTTTTGCCGTTTTATAACTGTTTCATAGATGATGTTTCAAAAAAATTATTTCACTGCAAATGCATTCAGTTTTCATAGTGGGCTGTTTGTTTGTTTGTTTGTTTAGGAAGCAGGAACAGACAAGAGTATTTTTCCTTTACCAGAACCACAGGATTTTTTCCAGGCCTCCCAAGTTAAGTTTGAAGACCTAATAAAAGACTTAAGGAAACTGAAGAGAGATCTAGAAGGTAACTGGGAACTTTCACATTTGTTCTGCTAACAACAAAGTGCCATTTAAAATGTGACCTTTATGAGGTTTTCTTATTGCTAATTAGGTTTATAGTGTTGATTCATTTAGAGTTTTTTACACTGTGGCACAAATTACTCACATAAATTAGGAAGAAAAAAAAATTCAAACTCATGACTTAATAAAAATGAAAGTAAAGATACTGAAAAGTAATTCTCCCTTTTACAACTGAAAGGCACCTAAAGAAATCTTTCTGAAATTTTCTTTAGTTATGTCTGAATTTTCCTCTGGCTTCTCCAGAGCTGTGTGTTTAACTGTAGATATCTGTTAGTTCCATAACATAAATACTTCACTACTTGTATAACAACAAGCTACAAGAAAGAGTTGAATACTGTTAATGTAGAAATAAGACACAGCTTGCCAAGGCACAGCAAAGGGAAATGGAAAGCTCCAGTTCAAAATATTTTCACCCTGGGATATAAAATAAACATTTTAAAATGTTTATTATAAAGAGGGGCTCAGAAACCCAACTCATCTATCAATCAAGGTACTGAGTGGAAATAAAGTAGGAAGGGTTGCTCTCTAAGTGTTCCAAGCAGTTTCATTTTTATTTTGTGCTTCATATGACTTTCTAAAATAAATCCAGCAAATGATGACTGAATATTTTAAGCCTGTCTTTTTTGTTAAGGAAAAGTTGCTACTTTTACTGAAGCAATTTTCTGTAGAAAATCAAGTTTAGGGAGAGAATCTACATAAAAGACTATAAAAATTTCTCCATTTACATATATACCTCTGCATCAAAATCAAAGAACATTTTTAGACTCAGAGTTGAACAAGATGATAGTTTTTATTTTTTTTTCAATGTAAGGCAATAAAACCATTACGAAATAATTTATCCTTACAGTTAGAAATCGCTGGATTAGGTCACTGCTATCTTTAGGATAGTTTCAAAGGTTAACAGTGGTAGGAAAGTATCAGTTGTTGTTTGTTCGACCCGGGCACAAGTGAGTGCTCTATCTCCTCTCATCGCTTGGCCCTGTAAACCCCTTGGCCTGCCCTCTTTTGGGCTAGTTTGTGCAGAAACATGATCTGTGTTTGATCTTGTACTTTTTCAACATGTAGTCCTGCTGTCATGCATCTTAGTCTTGCAGGATCTGCATTGAGGCTGTGACATTCACATCATACTTGTTCTACATTGCAAAGACACAGATGGCAAGTAGGAAAAGCTAAACACTTTAACTGATTTAAAATAAAAACTGCAGCTTTCTTCTAATCACTGATTTCTATTTTCTAAAACAAATATTCTTAGGTATTTATAGAAAATCTAGATAAATTCTTATGTTGAACTTGTTTTCATAATTCTTCTTTGTAAAGATGTATTTGACACCCAGCCAAACCAATTAACATATAAAGTTAATGACAGCAAAGATTTGAAACAAAAAAGGTTGTGGAAATGTTTTCAGATGTTGGTATTTTATCACTCAGAAATATGCAGCAGAATTCTAACAAGCATTCCTGTGATTAGTTTCTCTTATATTTAAACAAAGAAACAATTACTTGTATAAAAATATTGTATCTATGTGAAACATTCCCTTTCAAATTTTTTTCTTCAGATAATGCTGGAGTTTATTTTTAAATCAAAATTTTAATTGAAGAGGTTATAATTTTAACACGTACAACAAAGATTTGATGAGTCTCTGTAGTTTATTGTAGCCATTAAAAAGTTGTGGCTGCTGGCAGAATACCAGTGAAAGTCTAAAGCTGAAACAGATGTGAGTAGCAGAAACCAAGTCCAGAGAAGCGTCGGGCCCAGCTATCCAGACAGGCGCGGCCCTTCAGATGTAAATAATTTGAACAATATTAACTGGGGCTGCCTGTGTTATAGGGTACATTGGATTTATATCGCAGTTTGGTTGGCTAAGGTAGTCTTAAACAGATTACCTTGGAAGTGGGATGAGACAAAGGTAATAAATGAAAGAGGGGTTTTCTTGTGTGCCATTCGGGAACGAACTAATGTTCCTGTTAGTGACTTACTTTTTTTCTGAGATTCGTACAGAAAAATTAAAAAAAAAAAAAAATCAACTCTTGTGCCTAAAATGGCAATTCTGATAGACACTTAACATTATAGGTGTCATTTAGCATTTGAAAATATTTTCTACTAGTTTATCAAGGCATTCATTTATCTTTCTATCATGGGTATTAACATAGGAAAGATTGAGTTATCATGAGTGGCATGTCTTAATGGTGTAAACCTCTGGTTTGAAATACCTAGACAGTGTGGAACCAAAAGTTCAAATCTAGATGGAACACAAACCCTTTCATCCTTTTCAGATAAACAGATTGAGTTCCATACAATTTGCTATTTTGAAGTCTTTCAGATTAGACTTTAAAGGGACAGACTAATTTAAATCAAAAGGGATTAGACTAAAATTTGGCTCAAAAATTCAAACAAATTTTTGGAGAACCTTAATTCAACAGGTTTTTAACACATATTCCAGAACAAACTTGGTAATCACGAGCATTTTTAAGTTAAAAAGAATGGCAAACAAAAATATGCATTTAATATAAGCTTTTAAGGGGAAAGAAGTGCAAAAGAATGCAATATTAAGTAGCGAGATGAAAAATTTTAGACTGAAATCTGGTTCCACTTTAAAGCCAAAAGCAAAAAGAAATGTCTTCTGTAAGCTCAGGTTCTCACTCCAGGTTAGTATAGTCAGTGTATTTCCAAGGTTTTCAAATATTACATAGTAGTATAAACAGATACATTTATTAATTTAATAGGTATTAACTTTCCAGTTAATCTTTATGGAAAAAAAAGTTTTTGCTTTGCATCAATATTTTAAGATTGTAAGATATAGTATTCCTTTGTCTGGGGCAATGATTTCTACTTTTTCCTTTCTTTATAACAAAATATGATTTCCCTTCCGGTCTGGACAGTGCTACTTCATTGGTATTCTTCTGAAATAAGCACAAAGTGTTTGAAATGTCTAATCATAAGATTTTTAGAAAGAAAGCCACTTTACCAAAGTATGATAGACTTGTATAGGTTGTACCATGAACCTTTTATTTCTCTCTCTCCAAAGTTGAACAATCTTAATTATTCAAAATTAGTTGCACTGTGGATTGTTTCCATCTGTCATACTCATTGGTCTTTTTTGGAATACAGTTTGTAAAATTTTAAAATGCTGCTCCATTAATCAAAAGGAAGCAATATTAGGTTCCTTGTATCATTTATAGTAATGTTCATTAAACCTTCTTAGTGTTCTTGACCTTAGCAACTGAAAGAGCAAAGATACTTACTGAATGCTTAAAAATGGGAATCAAGGTAGGTCCACCCTTGAAAGTATTCAGTCACACCTTTATTTCTCATAATTAAATTTCCTATGAGATTTTAACATTCTAATCCTATTGAAAATTCACATATCTTTTGCTTTCACATTCTGTCATGACCACCAGTAGAGATATTGGTTGCCATTTTCGTACTAGTATTTTTTCAGTACTGGATATATGTTTTAAATTTTTATTAACTGAGTGTATATGAGTGTATATGTAGGTGTTAACACACACATGTACATGACTGAAAGGAAGTTATTTAATCTAAAATAGAAACAACACTTCATGGGTAAGCTATCTATAATAATTAGTTGGGTTTTGGTACTCCAGGAGACATGCTTTCAAACTGGGGACCTCTTAACACAATTGTTGGGAGATTTGTGTCTTGCATAAGTATGTTACCTCCAAAATTTCCACAGTTAAGCAGTGGAACTTCATGAAAACTTCAGTTTATGGCAACCCCATCTTGTAAAATTATATAACCCTAATAAAAGATAAAAGGGAAGTGAGTAAAACTATGCATGAGAAGTTGAGAAATTATAATCTTGCATTGGCTGTTTTCACATTATTTTTCATACAGAAGCATTACAAGTACCTTAAAATCATAGAGAAATGTGGGTTGTTTGGTTGGAACGTACCTTTGGAAGTTCTGTGGTCCAAAGCCTTTGATCAGGACTATATTCATATTTAAATCAGGTTGAAGAGTGCCTTAGCTTGCTCAGTTTTGAGTCTAAGGATGGAAATTCCAACACCTCTCTGGGCACCTGTTCCAGTGCTGAATCACTGTCTCGAATATTTTTCCTTATCCCTTGTGAGAATTTCCTCTGCTGCAACTTGTGACTATTGCTCCTTTTTCTTTAGCCATGCATTTATGAGAAAAGTCTGGCTCCATCTTCTCTGTAGCTATTTGTTAGGTCATTGAAGCAAAAAACTAGATCTCCAGTTAGCTTTCTCTTCACTAGACTGAACATACCTGGCTCCCTCTGCCTCTTCTTCAAGGGTTCATTTTAATTTCATTCTTAAATGGCAGCATGATGAGATATGTCTTATTTTGCAGATATGAGTATGTGTGTGTGTATATCTATTCATACATATATATTATTTTTCCTAGAAACAGATCCAGTTCACTGGATGTAACTAGTATGGTGTTGCCTTAATGATACCAGTATTGTAGCTAATTAACCTTGTCTCTTAGTATGTCTGACTAGACTGTTGCAACCAAGCTGTTGCATCTACAATGCTCTCATCTCATAAGGGATCTCTGTTTCACATTGTATTGTGAAGTGGGGATGTGTTACAAAATTAAGACAAGAATGGAAGAGAATTTAGAAATGAGAAATGGGTGGAAATTGAAAAGGGTCACTCTTTATTCTTGTAGTCACTGTCACTATAAATAGAGGTGAGGAAGCTGCAAAAAGAAAAAATAATCAGTTCATGCTCATTTAAGACTAAAACACTATGATTTTCCTGTTTTAAAATGCTGAACATCTCTTTCTATCAAGGATTTTAAGGGAATATATTTACCAGTAGGAAAATATACAAGAGCAGAAAAGTTTAATCAGTATTATTCAAAAGAAGTTAATGTAAAATTCTTAAATGTGTGTGTTCCCACCAGAGTCTTCAAACTGAGTTAAAGTTTTCTGCAAAAAAAGTCACTAATTAACTATA